ACCCCCTTGCACACGTTTTCAGCTCACAGGCGCCTGCCGCAGGAGAACAGCGAGAGCTTCTTCCCGCTGCTCCCCAACGACACGCACACACACTCCTCGCACACACACACTCCCCGCGCGCACACACACTCCCCCCTCAGAGACTCGCTCTATACCAGCATGCCCACGCTCACTGACCTCCCGCATGGCACTGACGACCTCATCAACGGTCTGCACGACGACGAAGACGATGAGGATGACGACAGCGAGGAGGAAGAGGGCAGCGAACTGCACCTGGCCAATGGCAAAGGGGTCGTAATGGAGGCAGACGATGTATACTACAAAAGCATGCCAAACCTGGGCTCCAGGAACCACATACAGGAACTAGAGAGCTATTACCAGATGGGACGCGGAGGCAGTGACGGGTTCATCGCTCCACCTGAGAAAGAAGACTCGTCGCCTGAAGAACAGCCACCAGACCCCTCACAGCTGGTCACCAGCCTATAGACACCGACGCACACACACAGCGTACGTGTGTGTGTGTGTGTGTATGTGTGTGTGAGTGTGACACAATGCACAAGGCATGGGATACACTACCTACTGCACTGATAGAGAGACTGATTCCAGATAGCCCCCCGATTCCAGTACATGCGAGTATCCTGTCACCAAAATCCTGCCCCAGTTAGAACCAGAAACTAGTAACCCATTCCTATGCTAGAACAAGGACTACCACGTGTAGGCAGGTCTTGTGGACTTCTTTCTCCTCAATTTCCTAGGAAGCCGATCTGCTGAGTAAAACCCTTGCGGATCGTCAATTCGGAGACGTGGACAAACTTTTGCTCCCTGGATCATTTGCATAGATCTCCTTCATCCGATGGCTGTCTGATTCTCCTCAAAACTCACCACGGATTTTGGAACAGACTGCGGAAAACTAGCTGCCATTTTAGATGACCTTGTATGATAATGAGACTTTGAACTCTTCTGTCGTACTGAACTGCATTACCCACAACTCTCTAGAAGACTTCTCTATGATTCTCTGCTGCACACATTCCTTCTCGTTTAGCACCGATTCTGAGCGTGAAATCACAAAAGGCGCATCTATTCTTGAAGACTGAGGACGTATCTTGTTTTCTTACGTTTATTTTTCAGTAATAATCTCAGTTATGGGAAAGGTAATCTTCACTAATTACAAAGAAATGGAACTGTTTTCCATGTAAAATGTACAGATTCCCGATATTGCATATGATCGTATGCGTTTCATGTTTTTTGACATATTTTGCCCCTTGTATGTGTTTTTGTAGACTAGACCAATCCCGCAATGCTGTGCTGGTCCTCCAAAATACTATCCCTGATAACGCACAGCACAAACACACCTATCTACATACACACTCTCGTTTGGAAGGATGACCGTGGCAACACTTTGTCATTCTAATTCTCACTGTGTCGATGATAACCAAGAGACTCTGGGGAAATGACTGTTGTGTGATTGACCGCTATTGCAGATGGGATCCCAAGGATGCTGGAATGTTGGCATGTCATGAGTTCTAGAACGTTTACCCTTCAACACGCCATTTTTTTATGTGTAAGAGCGGAAATCGTACTTTGGATGCAGGTTGAAGAATTCCAGCTTATTGAAATTCCGGTCACACGTGTTGACACAGCTAAAATTGTTCTCAGGCTAAAAGATGGTCTGTTATTGTGACGATTTCACATATCGAGTTGTGTTTTTAAGAGCTTAATCAAGAAGAGAAAGAAAGTGAATTGGAACAGGTCCAA